ACAAACACACACACACACACACACACACACACACACACACACACACACACATACACATACACACACACACACACACATAGACACACACACATACAGACACAGCGAAAAAGTGGAAACACGACGGCACATCAGGAGATCAGACGATCGTACGGTCAGTACTGGTTCCTGCCACTTGCGAGGTATATGGTTATTTCATTGATAAGTCTGCTAGAGCACTTGTTGATGACTTCGATGTTCCAATTTTTTGCTTATTTCGAAATATGAAACCTTATTCTCAAAAGTGATTAACTGTAATTAAGGAACAAGTCCGAACTGGACGACAGTCACACGTGGGACCAAGTCCCACTTACCCGAATTCTCAATTTCTGAACCGTAGATTTGGAAGATCAGACTTCAACTCCCTTAGACTCTACTCGACTCTCTTCACAGATTTCTAAGATCAAGAGGCTTTCTTCGTGGGATCAAGACCCACTTTCTTCGTGGGATCAACATGATATCTTCAACCAATTTCTGACCGTAGATTTCGAAGATCAACAGGATATCTTCCACCAATTTCTGACGGTAGATTCGGACACCGGGTACTTTTTGAAAAAAGCAGATATTTGTTCTTGATGCTGCTGACAACCTGATGCCGAAATTTGGAATACGAAATAAAAAAGCACGGCATATTGTCTATACGTCAGCCTCGGGCACTGGGCCCAATAGTGTGAAAAAAAAATAAAAATAAGAATGGGACGATACAGAGAAAGATTAGCCAATGGAACGATACAGAGACGATACAGACCAAGATTAGCATGGCCTCTGCGCGTTGTGGTTTACCTGCTGCATGCTGTTATTAAAAGACATAAAAAAAATATAAAAAAAAAATCGTACGCGAACGTCAAGAGCTCGTTGTTTACCTGCAGAGCTGAACGAAGCGCTGACCCACACGTGCATAGCTCAAACCCTGTTCTGTTCTGTTCTGTTCTGTTCTGTTCTGTTCTGTTCTGTTCGGCTCGGCTCGGTTCGGTTCCGTTCGGTTCGGTTCGGTTCGGTTCAGTGATATGATATGATATGAGATGGTAGTCGTACTGCAAGAGATCGTTGTGAAGGCAAGAGATCGTTGTTGTTACTACTGTAGCTACTATGTTGAGTCTTCTTCCCCCGAATACAACGCACGGACATTATAGCTGTATTTGGGCTGTTTTTCAGACTAAATACAGCTATACTGACCGTACGTTATATTTGGGGGAAGAAGGTAGTACCTCGGCCCTCGGGCAGGATTGGGAAAATTTGGAAAAAAGGGAAAAGTGGCAGTTTTCCAAAACTCTTAAAATTTCGGAGGCCGGGCCCGACGACGGGCTGCCATTGATAAAATTTAATCTGATCGGTGGCTGTCGATTCGTTTCGGGCGAGCTCCCAAAAGCCTGGAGGTCGAGGGAGGTCTGAGGCCCACCCGAGGGCCGCTATTCTCCCCAGGGGCGAGGTCCCACTAGGCTCTAGCAAAGAGCATTGGATTGAACACCTGAATCTACACTTGTTTGTGGAAAGGTGCAGAAAATCGAGATTGAACTCCTTTTCTGCATCTCTGCCTAAAACACGCCCCATATTCACGATCTTAATCCAATGCCCATTGCTCGTGGGGAACATGCGCCAGGAGGCCAAGGAACTCGTGGTTTAATACAAGAGCTAAATTAAATCCGAAAGCGGCCGCATGTGCAGATGCTCATCAACAGATGATGCATTCGAGTTGAGGAGCAAGCTTCACTACCCAGACAATGCCATGCAGGTGCTGATAAGTTGATAACCAGGGGCCATGGCCCACTAGCAGCGTTGAGCTAACTCAACGCCTGAACCTGGATGCTTTTGCGAAGATGTGCAGAAATGGTGTTGAGTTTCCTAAAATGCACGTCTCCACACACACGTCCAGATTCAGGCGTTGAGCTAGCTCAACGCTGCTAGTGGGACTTGGCCCCAGGTGACGAGTCCAAACTGGGCTCTGTGTAGAAGCTGTTGATCAGCACGTTGCGAATTCGGAATCCCACCATGATATGCACATGTAGCTGGTTTTTTTTTTCTTTTTTTTTTGGGGGGGGAAGGGG